CACAATTTAGCAAAATATGAAACTCATATATTGGAATATGAATACCTTTGCGACTGAATGTTAAAGTAGCAGTCTCTTTTGACTTTTTCATTCTGCATATGATTGTGTGTCTGTGTGTACACATAGGCTCACACAACAAATTATTTTTTGATGATCGTAGGTTAACAATAGACTCACCAAGCAGTCTATTATGAGTGGAAGACTGTACCATAACATAGCAGTTCCCCATTGTAAAGATGGAAATGAAAAATGAACAAAGGAAGTATTATATAAAGAGCTCAGAATAGCTTGTTTCCTTGGTGGTCACTTGCAAGCTGTTGATCGTTTATTTAATCTCCAGGAAGAAAGAGTACTCAAGATAACACAAGTTAGTTATACCCTGACTCACAAAAAAATCCTTAGAATGTAATTTTCCTTTGCTGGGATTCCAGCAAAATGGAAAAAAGTAGACCGCTTATGTCAGCCAGGCACTCCCTCATTCCTGTCCCTATAGGCAAATTAGAGTTGTGAAGTATCTGGAAGGTGAGCTGGCATCTGTGCCCTGTGAGTAGAGACTCTCTTCTTCTGTATTCATCTTTCTAAATGCAGATACAGTAGTTGGGTTTTTCCTTTTTTGTATTTGTAATGAATGTACATGATCAACATGTTTGGTAAGGACAGTTCCCCATTCATCTGTCCTGCCCCAGTGCTACCAACAAATAGTCTTGGCAGCATCTGACTTATTTCTCCTCTTTTTCCTTCAAGGAACCCAAGCCAGTTTACATATTCCTTCTCTGCATTTTCTCCTCACAATAATCCTGTGAGTGAGGTTAGGCTGAGAGTAAGTGACTGGCCTTACAGCCAAGCAGGGACTAGGACTAAGATTTTCTGAGTCTCAGCCCAATACTCTAACTGCTAGACCACTGATTTGTAGCAGAATGGAGACAATAACTAATGACATACTACCCTTTATGGCACTCTAAACATTTAACTGTGGTTAATTTATATAATGGTAGGAACCAGCTCTGAATATTTAAACGTCACATTTTAAAGCAGTTTTGAGTGACTACATAGTTATGCTCAGTTTCATATTATTCAAATCCAGCCTTGACTTAAACAAATTCTAGTCCAAAACAAGAGAAATCTATACAGACTTTTTCTGGAACTTATTTTTAGGGTAGTTTTGCACTGTGGAACAGAAAATACCCTCAGGGATGAAAAAACATTAAAATAAAGCCTATTTAAAATACTTGTATGGCTTTAAATGAATTGGTGTAACCACTAACCTTTGTCGCCTCAGTCCTGGGCTTGAATTTTGAATGGCAGTTCAACAGTCCTGTTTCCAGCACTTGAAATCTGAACATAATTAACTCTTGTTTCAGCATGGTTACATAAATGCCTGAGGATGTTCTATCAAAGTTCCATTTCGTGTTTTGGTTGAAGAAACACACTAATGATTTAAAATGAAGCTAAATCATTTTGAGTTAAGCCAAACCTATTTAAATTGCACAGATTCTGAATACTCCATGGCTTGTAAACAGTGGAGTAACTGTGCCTGCATTTATAGCAAATTATTACATGTTGAAATGGTTACGCTTGTTTAGCAGCACATGTTGATACAGATGTATAATTATATTATTTTTTTTAACTCTTCTGAAATGGCTGTGTGATACCATGTTCTTTTAATGCAGCAATCTGCATCGAGCAATAATAATTAGCAAGAACTTTTGTAGGCATTGAGTTGCTGCCAGATTTGTCATTTTTATCCTGTGGGAGTCAGTGACAATAGCTCATTAATGTGGAGATATGTAATGCTACTTCCTGTAGCCGTACATTTTCTGTATCATTTTCACAGTGACATTTACTGTCTAAGTGCCATCGTTTAACAACAGCTCCAGGCATAAGCAGGTGTGGAAAATGCCAGATAGAAGTTTACTGAATATGGATTCTAACAATAGGAGACTATTACACTCTCTGTTTTCTGGCAGTGTGTGTGTGTGTGTGTGTGTGTGTGTATGCGCTTTTGTTTGTTTTTGTTGTGAGCCGCCCCGAGGCTTTGTTGCGATGGGGGCAGCATAGAAATGTTTTAAATAAATAAATAACTATAGCAAGGGTAGGCAAACCAATGCCCTCTGATGTTTACAAGTACAACATGGTCCATGGTCAAGGGTTATGGGAGTTGTAGCTGAAAACATCTGCAGGGTTCCAGGTTGCCGAAACCTGGCATATAGTAATAAATAAAAGTGTCGCATAAAATTTTTTTGTAAGCCTGTATACTTCCATCATTTTAATGCATAGTATAAGAATTTCTTACAAAAGCAACATAACAAGAGATAACTTGAATAAGTTAGTTGTATCTATTTAACTTGTTTCAAGCATATGAGTAAAACTAGAATAGATGTATGTATGAAAAGCTGCATTTCTGAGTAATACCAGTGAGGTTTTCCAGGCTCAGGCTCGAAAATGAGCTCAGGTGCTTCATAATACTTGTTGCAAGGGGAAACTGAGTATTAGATGCCCCTGAATTCTTCTCCACTGTTTATTAAAAGTTTCTACCATAAGTCCTGCTTTCAAAGGCTGTTCCTGGGAAAGCTACATCTCGGAGGGGAACAGTTCACCTCTTGAAACAGAGGAAACTTTTCTACCCTATTCAAAGTAGCAAGGTTTTCCCCCCAGTGGTTTGTATGAGGAGACAGGCTGGAAGAACAGCATACAAGGAAAACGTTGGTGCTGCTTTAGGGGCAAAAACTTCTCCGTGGATGAGTCTTGTGTGACCTAAGTAAACCTGATATTTGGGGGTGGGGGGGTTCATTTTATCCAAGGTAAAAGCTTGGATAATGTCTAACTTAATCTGAAGAGAGCACAGCATAGCTTACTCATCATTAAATCATAAAATGAGCAGAATTATTATATACAGTTTAAGAAAATGAGTTCCAAGTTCATTTCGTATGCTCTTTGGTGAGCTATGAGGACTGGTTCTTATTTGGTTGTCTTAAAAATTATTCACAGCAAGTTCACATGTTAACCCTATTCCTGTGGTGGTTGTATGGGGCAATGCCTTTTGGAACATTATTGGAAAAGGTATTTTATTGAATAATCTCTACTGTATGGACTAGAAGCCTGCGGTCAAATAATTGACTGATTAGTGCAAAGCAGTGTGAACTTCCTGCTGCCACTCACTGCTTTTGCCCCTCCCTTCCCCCTCAGGGCTCCTGGCCACTCAGTGCCAGCACCAGTCCAGTGGGCCCTGGGAATTGTCCCACTTCTGGTTCTTCTGCTGTTTTAGCTACCACCTGTCAAAGTCCTCTCCCACCACCAAAGCTCACCTGCCAGCTGCACCTCCTCAGCTGCTGGCTCGTGCCCTCTCCACCAAAGCTTGCCCATCTGCAGAAGTCACTGCTTGTTAAAACAGACTCAGTTAGATACTGCCTTGGGGGAAGCATGGCCAATGAAAGCACATAAGCAGCCCTGAGCTCTCATTGGCCATATACACTTCTGCAGCAAATCTGCTTCGTCCGGGTTGTTATTCCTCAAAATGTTGCAAAAATAAACATGTTAGAATAGGACAGGATGGGGCCTGCCATTTCCTTTTACCATCTAGGGGCAAGTCGGTAGTAGAAGGAAACTGACGGCTGCTGTAGTTGGATTGGTTGGAAGTAAGGTATTCTAAGCTTTTATGGCTTAGGCAGCTGTCCCCCTATGACAGTCCCTATCACTGGGCCCACTTCCATGCACAAAGAACCACATGGCTTCTCCCAGACTTACAGATCTGTACAGGGGCTGCAAGGGCAATGTTGGGAGTAAGAATGATGGCTTCTCTGGGCACTTGTTCTCACAAACTGCTGGCTGCAGTTGAGAACATTCAGAATTAGCATATGATCAAAGGCGGATGGAATGTGCCAAGACACTGAAGTGAAGGAGGCAGACGTGCTTATCTCAAGGCCAGATTATTTGGCAGGGAAAGCATCTTTTGGGAATAATCAAGCGGTATAGCCAGCAGGAGGGAAGGGATTCTCAGATGGAGACCAGGCATTCTGGCTCTTGACTCCTTGACAAGATGTCAGCAGAGGCTGATGACCAGTTAAGTGATCAGCATGCAGAAATGAGATGCACTTGCTTTCAGAAAGCTCCTCCCAAATGGATGGGGCCCAGGCATGTTCATTAGGAGAGTTCCTGGAGGTAAGCACTAGATTAAGTTCAAACCTCTCTGTACATGCTCAAAAATTTGTTCTGGGTGATTTGTACTTGGAAGCAATAAAGAACATTTTTCATTGTTCAAGGAAAACAATCTGTGGTTTTGACTGCTCAGAGGTAGAACCTCAGCTCATGACATGGAGTATGGCAAAGCAATGGAAAAATGTTGTCTGGCAGGAGGCAGAGAAAGGCAAGCAAAGGATTGCTGCTTTTCTGATGAATAGACGATAAAACAGAGAGGAACAAATTTGGTGGAATAGGAATGTACCAGTATGCTGACACCAAGGTAGGGCAGATCACCTGAAGCCTGATTAAATATCTGGACATTATTCCTTCTCAAGAACCTGAGGACAAAGTACAGAGCTTCAGGGGGCATGCTTTTCTGAATGGTTGCACTCTAAACAGAAGGCAGAAAAAGATGAGGAACAATCCTGCCATTATAAACAAGAGCACATAACATTGGGCAGAAACCTCCTATATCCAATTTTTGAAGCAAAATAAACTTTAGTAGTGGGAGCAGCAATAATGATTTTATTGTTTAGTTATAAGCCATAAGAAAACAGATGGAAAATTTAGAGCTGAGCAACAAATACAGCTTGCCGTTTCCTGGACACAAATAAACTTAACTCGAGTGTAGATTCCACTGCTGCCATGTACCTGGTCTCTTGGAGAAAAAGAGATTGCAAGTCCCAACACTATCGTACTGTATTACAAATTTTAAGAATTAAATATTAAGGTTTGTTTAAGGAAGGAAGCTAAAGCTGTAAATGTTGTGATAACATTATTTATTGGATGAGTTTTAAAATGTATGTATTGTTTTGTTGTAGAGCCACCTGTTCCAATCGCACCGCCTCAGCTGTCTTCAGTTGGTGCAACCTATTTATGGATACAGTTGAATGCTAATTCCATCAATGGAGATGGGCCCATCACTGGGAGAGAAGTGGAATATCGTACTTCAAGTGGAAACTGGTACGATATACAACCGGTAGACTCCACAAGCTATAAAATTGGGCACCTAGATCCTGACACGGAATATGAAATCAGCGTTTTGTTGACTAGACCAGGTGAAGGTGGTACTGGATCTCCTGGACCTGCTCTTAGAACAAGAACAAAATGTGCCGGTGAGTAAACCTGTATATAATAGTAATACTAGCTCTAGAAGGCTTATATTCTATATTTAAAATTCAGAATGTGTTTTGGTTTAAAACATGAATACAGATCATCTTGAAAGTAATGTATCAGAGGCATGGTCAAGTGAAATATAAGCAATTTTAAGGTGTGTTTTCACTTAACATTAAGCATGTCTTTACTATTGAAATCAGTTGTAATTTAAAAGGCTGAATTTTGGCAGGATGGTATCAAGTCTTTTAGTTTGTATGTCTTTTCATGCCTTTCAACTTTTGGCCTCAAAGTAGTGCCAACTCTACCCACATGGGGAACATACAATTGATCAAGCCTCTTAGGAGTGTCCTCCCTCCAGTCTCTCCAGGGAAAGGGAATAATTGGCAGGTTGTCAAAACAGTGTTCTGAGAGAGGATATGCTCTCTCTAGTAGCATTTAAGACAAATATTGAGTCATGGATGCCTGTACCAGGTTAAGATGCTTGCATATGTTAACACAATCACTGTTCCCAGAAGAATATTCTTGTGTGGTCATCCATACTCCACAGGCATAAGACTGATCATGATCATTCCATACCTGGAAATGTTTGGATCAAGCCTCTAAATTCTTCAGCCATCTTCTTTTAAATGGCTGGATGAATTGGAGGTGGATCACTTTTTTTTAAAATTTGGGCAGATTCGAAAGCCATAGGAAAGCCTCCTTGGAGAGGGCATTCAAAGAAAGGATGGCAGTTTCCTAGTTTGACTTGCTGCTCAAGGAACAATCCTATCACACATGCCACTCATGGATGGTTTAGTATCACATAGAGAAGCATGGAGTCCACCAAATGACAATCCTGTCAGGGACAGCAGGGTTACCACCCAAGATCAGAAACCTAGGCAGTATCTTGCAGGAAATACCCAATGGGATGTTTCTCCACAGCCTTGAAAAGCCTAGTAAACCAAGACCTTTTATGTTGTTGTGCGTGTGGCTATAGTTGTATACGATAGCCAAAACTCTCTGCATGGTTTACAAAAGAGTAAAATCTTAAAATGCAGTGTAAAGCTAAGTATTTGCATACAGTAGGCAGTAAAATTCCAGGTATGGTTAAACTCTTCCTGCCAAATGTCTGGGAATTTTAACCTGCCGTGAAAAGCATGGCAATGTTGGTGCCAGATGGACCTCATTGGCAAGAGGGAACATTATGTCTCCAGGAGGACAATAAAAATCCAGACTTATTTATTTAGAATTTTTGTATGCCGTCCCATTTGCATGAGCCTCGGGACGGCTTACATGCAATAAAAAACACAATACAAATAGTGCACATAAAATCCAGATTCATCCTGGCTGCAAAATAAAAATCTATAGATGATATTAAAAATTGTTAAAATATTATTTAAATAAAAAGGCCTTTGTCTGGCGCCGAAAAACAAATAATGATGGCGCCAGGCGGACCTCTCTGGGGAGCACATTCCATAGATGGGGCGCCACCACAGAGAAAGCCCTCCTCCGAGTACCTACCCTCCTAATTTCCTCCACGGAGGGTTCCCGGAGGAGGTCCTCTGCTGCCGATCTCGGGGTGGGAGGGTAAATATGGAAGAATCCAGACTTCAAGATAAGCTGTGGGAAAGTTATCCTTGGAGCTTGAGGGTAAGGAAATGACCACATTCTTAGGCCTGGAGGATGTCTAAAATTCACATTGTGTATGCTTTAGGCTTTCAACAAAGACCACACTAATTGTTAGTGAAGTAGATTTCTTTTCATCTTTCACTAATCTGTGGTAAGGTGAAAACAGTGAAATAAAGTGAATTTTCAAATTAGGAACCTAAGTTCCTAATTAAAACAATGACTTTCATGTCCGTTAACAACTGATCTGCAGCTGATTCCTGCTGTTACGTGGAGAGAGTATAATTAGTGGTTCTTCTCTTTCTACCAGATACAAAGCAGAGTTCTAGTACAAAGAACTAATAAAATCATCTGTGATGAAAGTAGTAGAAAGGTGTGAAGTATACAAGAGAAGACTTTCTTTGCTGGGCTTGCCTTCCTTAAGTGGTGTATCTGCCACACATTTTGCAATCATTTGGGTACTGGGTTAAGAGGGTTTTATTCACCCAGTCATTTTAATGGGCTGAATCGCTCAGCCTGCCTTCTAATTTTTATGTGCTGACTTTTATGGCTGTTAAAGTTAGAGCTTTTACTATATTAGGTTTTAAATGATTTATATTGTTGTATGCCACTCCTGAATTTGATCTGATGAAATGGCATTATTAATGGATGCTGTATTAAAATGATCAATATGGATAAGGGACATATTTTTCCTCCTGGTTAAAAGATGAAAATGAAAGGAAAAATGGACTATAGCATGCATTATGTTTGAATTCATTTATTCCACTAAAATAACTTGATTATGCATAGATGCACATCAGTACAGAAATGGCTTAAATTTTTACTTGCTAGACCAGGTAAAGGAGAATTCAGCACTCAGTAAAATCAATAAGATTCCAGCCACAAAAAAAGGAGTCCAAAAGTGCCCCTCTTATTTCCATTTATACTGAAAAGTGCCTTAAATGGTTAAAGTCACAGTATTCATAAATCAGTAAAACTGCTTAGCAGTGAAGATATGCTTTCTTCAAATGTGCACCGCAGGATTAATAGAAAGGGGACTCCTTTAAGAGATGAATCAGTGTACCTTTTAAATTGTGGTGATAATTGTATGCTGCAAGATTGTTCCCTTGGGATGGAACAGACCACTTTGAAACTTAAAGCACTGTACCAGATTATTATTCTAATTTTTTTTAGTAATCTTAACAGTTCCCTGAAATGCTTGAAATATGTTTTTGCTTGCACAATGATATTCCATTCAGTTAGAACAGCTTAGCACTGATAAACAAAACTGTACCTATAATTAGAATGCAAAGAAAATAAAAGCTGTTCTCCAAAGGCAGCCATAGAATTCTTGGAAAAGTTGTGTTCATGAAACCCACTTCATGAAAGTAGTTTACATTCTTTGGAATGAAACGGTATAAACTAAAGCCCTGTATCTGGGGTAAGGGGAAGACTTCAGGCTAAGTGAACAAGTTTCAGTCCCAAGTTATACAAAACTTTCATAACTTTTATACTGCTTCCAAAATCTTCCTTATTGAGACATACATATCTTGAGCTTTATCCTGTGATACTTGCTCAGAAGTAAATCTCACTGCAGTTAATTGAGCTTACTCTCATGTAGTGCTCAAAAGATTACAGCTTTTGGCTGCAAATTATGCTTAGCTTATTTTATGTATATGTTACATCACATTTTTTCCTGCAAAGAATCCAACAGTCTTCTTTCTATTTTATTCTCATAACTCTGTAAAGTATGTGAAGCTGAGGATCAGTGACTGACCGAAAGTCAACTAGTGAGCTTCATAGCTGAGTGGCACCTAAAACCCGGATATTCTGAGTCCCAGTCCAGTACTTTAATCATACTTTACATTGGCTGTAACTACACCACTCTGGCTCTCCATACAGTTCTTTTAATAAGGCATCTACCTGTCCTGTTAGTGCACATCTCACTAGTCCTGGCTGTCACAGATCTTGTGGGTTCAAAGTCAGCTTGGTTCAAAAAACAGTTGAACCTTTTTTCCAGCAGGGTTCTGTGGGATGACTTGGACCTAAACCTTAAACAAATTCAGTGTGAGGCATGGCTCACCCATCTCTCCAGAGGATACATTCTTGATTCACTCCATAAATACAACTTACTCTGTCATTCATGTTACTCAGTGACATTCTGTGTATGTTAAAGTTGCCATTGTCAAGCTTGCCAGCAGGCAGATAAATAGGGCTGAACCTTTTCCTTTTATTTCTCAGCAGCAGGTTCTGCTTTGCCAAATTGTAAGTTGCTTTGATGGTGGTGGTGGTATGTGCTGCCAAGTCATCTCCAACATATGGTGACCCTATGAGTGAGAGCTCTCCAAACTCTCCTCTCCATGCCAGCCTTGCTTAGCTCTTCTAAACTCAAGGCTGTGGCTTCTCTTATGGAGTCAGTCCATCTCATATTTGGTCTTCCTTTTCTTCTCCCTTTGACTTTCCTTAGCATGATTGTCTTCTCCAGGTAGTTTGGCCTTCTCATGATGTGCCCATGTTTTGTCATTTTTGCTTCTAAGGAAAGCTCTGGCTTGGAAATGGCTTTGTACTCTCCCCTAACTCTCTTCATACTTTGACCTCACTTACTCAAGCTGTGGTTGCAATGGTGTTAGCACAGGCTGTTCCACAAAGTATTCTATGAGGCATTTCACAAGGCACAGTGCAACGTATTGCGGCTTCCTTAGTCTGGCTGTTGCTTGTGCTCGCTGTGCTAGTTCAAATAGCAATTTCACTGACTTCTGTTATTATGCAACCAAATTAAAGGTGCAGACTGATTAAAACAGATTTAAAGAAGATGCTGGATTGATAAGTAACAGGGTCTCTTTTCTTTTGGCTTGATTTCCATGGATTTATTATTTATTTTTTATTTATATCCTGCCTTTTTCCTACAAAGGGCTCAAGGCAGCTTACATTATCTCTCCTCCTCCATCTTATCCCCACACCAACAACGCTGTGAGTTAGGTTGGGCTGGGAGTCTGTGAATGGCCCAAAGTTACTCAGTTGGCTCCATGGCCGAGCAGGGCCTAGCACCCAGATCGTCTCAGTCCCATGCTCTTAGCACAGTGTTAATGGCACATGATTTTGGTGGCGGCGGCAGGGAAGCCATCATGGCAGCTTTTGCTACTCTGAAACAAGACTCCAGTGGCAGTAGCAGTGAGAGAGTTGCGATTTGAAAGCAATCTAATGTCCATATCCCAGTCCAGAATACAACTGATGTCGAGTGTATGAACCTGGACACAGAACAGAGATTCTTTCAGGTTACTAATAAACCAGGTGACTGGTTTAGTGCTCGTGGCTTAGCTGACAGAAGTGGTCTCAAATATGGGGGTGGAAAGATTCAAATTGTCCTATGGAACTTCAGCGTGCATGCCAAGACCTTTTAACAGCTGTGGTTTGG